GAAGGCTTGGAGGACTTGCGCTATCATGTTTTGCAATGGCAGATGTGATAACACCCCCAACGGTTAAACAAAAACTAGCGAGCAAAGCCTCGGTCGAAGAAGTGGAGGGAGGAGGGCAGGATGGGAGGAGAGGAGCGAAACCGAACGACAACTGACGTAAGGTCCAATGGTGTGATGAAACGTCATTTTAGTCATGCCATTATTGTAATAACGCCCTGTTGCTCAAACTCCTCTTTTGTCCCAACGTACTCCTACGAGGTGCTGACCTTACAATTAGAATAAAGTGCAGCGGAGGTCGCGAAGCTTGCGCAGAGAAAGCTGAGTCCTGGAAGGGGAAGGGGACAAAAGTGTTAAAGGAATCTTGCGCGGAAAAATCATGATTCTATTTCAGCCATAAATCACTGGCTTGAGACTCATTATCCACGATAATAGTGAAAAGAACTGAAGTATTGCTTTCGTTTTGATTAGAAATTCGAAAACTCGAAAAGGCTGCTACGCGTTCGAATTGCCCACGGACGTCTTTCACGAATGCTGGCGACGGGGATGCTCAAACTTGGTTCTTGGAGTGCATTCACTAGAAGCTCTTTCTGGCCTTCTGCTTCGTTGCATTCACATCTTACACTTCTACTCCATCCTATTCCATCGATCGATTTGTCTCCACTCTCCGAAATCGCGCGCTTTAACCCGATTCTCTCATTGCGTCGCCTGGTACGTAGCCGGCCAAACGCCGTCTTCTTTCCATGCCTCGCCTGGCTCTGCCTCCTGGTCCTTCGATGGTCCATAACGTGTAGTTTTTGTACGTTTGTTTCTCTTCAGAAACCGAATCTTCATGCGTGAAACTTTGTGTGCTATTTCCAGTGATCACAACTGACATATTCATGTTAGGAAAGAGTGCAAGAATTTTCCGCGCAAGATTCCTTTAATAATAAAGCAGCTAATGGGATACACTGATCGCCAACAACTTGTGGTGACGCAATCTGCTATAGAGCACACCTTCGACTTTTCCGCATCCCCTTCAGCTACCGTCGGTGCCGTGACAGCTGAAGAGGAGAATACAGGAGGGGTGAAGGAAGAAGGAGAGGAAAACCGACCCTAATATATTATATTCGAAGGAAACGATTGCGATAGATCCTGGAGGGTTTCATAGTGGATGCACAATGCGCCAATGGTGAAAAAAGCAGAGAAATCCGTCAAGAAATAAGCAAAATAGTACCCCTTTGATTGCCCTTTCATTTTCGACCATGGATGAGCGACGGTAAAGAAGACGTTGTTCGGACGTGTTAACCCCGATAGCCGCCATCATGCTTTCAAGCATAGTGTTTTGGTTGATAAGGCTGTACAGAGTGGCCAAAAAAAAGAGCACTTGACTCCACATTTCAGACAGCATTAATCACACTTTGCTAAATCAAATCGACTGCCCCAACTCAGTATTGAAGAGCACATTCTAATCTATCTAAAAGTTACATGACAGCCTTCTACACCGACGACATCAGAAGATTTTCCCACGGAAACATGGTTCACGGTACGAGCTCAACGAGGTCGTCGAGGTACCATAGACCATTACGACGTCCCTGAAACGCTGGTCAAAAGCGGTCTTGCATAGTCACAGCTAATGTCTCTGGGAAGCTATTCACAGTTAATCCATTGAAGAAATTATGTAGCAGCTTCAGGCCGGAGCGATTACGGTAAGCCTCGTTGAGCTCGACGGTGGCGGCAGATGACGTCATATTCTGAAGACGGCGGGGGCAGTGAAGGAGGGCCTGCTTCTGTTTACGGGGGAACACCTAAGGAATATTCGCCGTAAAACTTTCATTAACATCGGCTCCCTGTGCGACGAAAAGTTCGATGATGTGCGCCATGGGCAAAGTGTCTCTTTTTTTTGGCCACCCCTGTACATAGGCACGTTGAAGAACATCCGCCAGAAGGGAAATGCCCTTCCTGGAAAGCCAACAACAAACAGCTCTCTCAAATCACCAACTCAACTCAACTAGTGGCGTAACGCTTTCAGGGCGGAGTGCTTCGAAAGTCCTGCTCAGCAACCAGGGCACTCTCTCTCGTGAAAGCGCCACAATTCGCTTCCCTGACAGCTAAGAAACTGCTTCGTGTGGCGCATATCCTTCCTCTCCGCAATCGCTCCCTTTAGGGAAAAGGCCATAATTGAGTAACATTTTAAGGTGACATCATATTTGCTATAAGACCCTATACTGTGCAAGACATTCATTTTTTGCTTACGCACTCCCTCCGAGGTCCTGCATATCTCTACGCAAAATGAGACCAGCTTTATGCAATTGAACGGCGCTCTCACAGCACACGGGGTATCGCGGGGCAACTTTGTGTTAAGCTTTCAGTTCCAATTTCGGTCATGTGTTCTTCAAAAGCATCAATTGATAGTTGCTTGATTTCTACGCCAACTCTGGGTTTATTGTATGTGTAAGGTCTTGTGCCGGATGGTGTGACAAAGGGTCATGTGCCAGAAAGATGAGGATTTTCCGAGGGGGAATGTGCTCGAGGGTAAGTAAAACAGCGGCTTTCGCACTAAAGAGAAATGGACTACTTAGCCTGGCCATTCAAAATGAGATGTGTACTACTATGCGTTCTATGAGACGCTGAGCTCAAATTTGCTTTCGTTTCAGCACAGCTGTTTTAGTCAAAAGTTATGAAGCAGAAAAGCGCAGCGGTAATGACCGTGACTCACAGTCAAGAGGCCGTGGTATTAACTCCAGTGCTAGTCCGTACTTTTGCTCTCATTCGAAGATATTCTGAAATTCTGCTCTAGCTATATTTTTGAAAAGTCAAATGTGCAGACTCGCACTGGAGTCGATCTCGCGGCCTCTTGCGCGCAAGACAGGCTCACTAACGCCGTCAGTCAATACAGGGTGGCTACTAAATATTGGCGCATGGATTGTTGACCATATTTTTAAAAAGAGAAGCTTTTACATCTTCAGAGGTTTATCTTTATATACCTTATAACATGGCAGTACATTGCTAAAGAAAGTGCTCGAAATGGCCTCCTTCGGCAGCGATACAGGCTTCAAGTCTCTTCTCAACTGACATCACTGTGGGCCGCAAGTAGCTGACGTCAAGCTCCTTCCACGCCTCCTCCAAGGAAGCCTTCAGGGAGTCCAAACTTCGACGTTGCTCAGAAGGCATCTTCTGCTTCAAGAAGCCCCACACCGCCAAATCAATTGGTTCAAATCGGGCGACTTAGATGGCCAAACATTTTGTGCCGGTAACTTGGAAAATGACGGTCACAGTTCTCCAACATTGATTTTGCGGCATGTGGAGGCGCCCTGTCTTGCTGAAGAATGCAATGACGTTCGCTGAAGGTCAAAAGAGTCCTTGGAAGAAGGGCATTACGTGAAAATTGTTTCCGGGTAGATCTGGGCGCTGGCTTTGATGTATTCATCCACAAAGACAAGCGGTGTCATGGTTTCAGAAGTAATTCCTGCCCAAACCATGACAAATTTGAAAAACGGTTCCTTGTGTGTACACAAGGTCGAGCAGAATGTCTGCTAGCCAGATCCAACAACTGCCTGTCGTTTTGCAAATCGTGCGCCACTTCTGGTCTGAAGATCTACTCACGTCACGCCGACGTCAGCTACTTGCGGCCCACGGTGATGTCAGTTGAAAAGAGACTTCAAGCCTGTATCGCTACCAAAGGAGGCCATCTCGAGCACTTTCTTTGGTAATGAATTTTCATGTTTTATTGTATATGAAAATAAACTTCTGAAATATTTGTAGTTTTCTTTTTTGGAATTATGATAACCAGATTAGTCCCCCGTCAACCGCCGGGACCTTCCTTTCCTGCGCAAGCTTTCTATCCTCCGCTATGGTCCCTTCCTCCTGTGACACCAACACCTCCTGGAAGTGACGCGTATGCAACACAATGGTGTTTCAAACAGTAGAAGGGACACAATCATGATATGACGGTAGATTTTTCGCTTCCCTTCCTCATCCTCCCTTCCTCTCTCCACTGCCCTCCAGCACCATGTGGAATGAACGGAAGTGTGCTAAGCAGGTGTTTATATAGCCCTGAGAGTGTTATCACAACTATCCTGCTACAAAACATTGATATCTCAAATCCTGTAAGCTACCCGATTTGTTAGCGGTTTGTTTATCCCATGAGCTTCCTTCTCACTCACTTCATTTTGCGGACGGACACACATACATACACACACACACACACACACACATACAGATACACAAACCGACACACAAAGTTAGCGCTTTATATAATAGAAGGATGTTAGCGGTTTGTTTATCCCATGAGCTTCCTTCTCACTCACTTCATTTTGCGGACGGACACACATACATACACACACACACACACACA